AGGCCCTTACCTTTCTAGGCACCACAGAAGCCCCCCCTGGGGTAGCTTCTGCTTTCCTATTTGCTTCTTCCTTCCCTACAACATTCGCTGCCACCCGCCCCGATTCTCTCTTCTCTAGCTTCATCCTTCCTGTCCCCTCTCTCTTCTCTTCTCTACTTTGTCCTTTCTCACAGCCTTTCCTTTTTATTTTCTCCCTGTTTCCTCTCCCACCCAGTATGCTCTTTCTCCCTAACCTCATCCCTCTCTGTCTTTTCTAACCCTTTTCCATTTTGGACCGAAATCTTCCCCACCCAGCGAGGGCTAGGAAGGCAAACTGTGGTCCCATGCATGTTTCCTGAGGGGTTACTCTTTCATTGGTCTGAGACCCTTGGCATGAGATCTCTGTGACCTTGGATTTGGAATTTTCAAACTCTCTTAAGCAGTCACAGACGAACCCCTGAGTTCAGGGGAACCAAGTTTCCAAGGATTTAACCTGGAAGAGGGCTTTTGGGGGCTTCAGGCATTGAATACACAAAACCTAGCCAAACCTGCCCCAGCCTACCCCATGGCCTCACCTAGACGCTGGAACAGGCTTGTTTATTACACAGAAGCTGGGAAGGCAGGTGGGAGACTAGGGAGGCAAGGGGTCAGGGGGAAAGCCAGTCCAGGCCTGTGAGCTGGCACCCTCAGTGGCTGTGGGTGACATCACTTCTTGGAGGGTGGTTTCTTCCAGCTGAAAACCTTCTTACTGCTCCTCCTGACTTTGTTGACAGGATGCAAGTCCATTTCAGGCTCCTTTATTCTAAACATCAAAAATGGAGACGGATTTAGTACACTTACAACAACGCTAGGTGGCAGGGTGGGTTAGGTATTGGATGCTAAACAGCAAAATTGGCAGTTGGAACCCACCAGCCATTTTACAGGCAGAGGAGGAGGTTATCTGCTTCCAGAATGACTGACAATCCCAGACACCCCATGGAACAGTTCTACTCTGTCAGAGAGAGTCACTGGGAGTCAGAATGGACTGGAAGTTAGTGGGTGGGTAGCTAGTTCCTTGCAGGGCACCGTAGAGCAGTCTCAGCCCTTCAGATTATGGGTCTGGGAGGTAGGGTTGGCGTACCATCTGCAAAAGAGCTGCCATTTCCACCCACCCCCAAACCACTGCTAGCAGCTTTAGGAAGCAAGCTTGAGATCAGCTGGCCGGTGTGGGTCAGAGAGACCAGCGGTCAGAGTGTATGGCGATGACCAAGACCCAGGCAAGAGTGACTCACCCAAAGCCACACTATCCGCTATGGCCTAGGTGGCAAAGGCAAGGGACCTGATGTTAGTGACACTCATTCTGGGGACAAGGCAGGTGTGGACACCTACTTCACTACTTCATGAGAAGACTCCTCTATCCCATCCCCTAGGACCAGTGAAGAGAAACTTCCTTGAATATCGTCCGGCATGTCTCTCTTGGATGGTTGTTGCCCTGGGCTCTGGATGGGGGTTGAAGCACTGCAGGAAGGCAGAATGGAGAGAGGTGGTTTTGAGCCATGGCGCAGAGCCAGGGGAGGGCCTAGATCTGGGGGTGCCAGATATAGTTGGCCCCCATCCAGCTGGCCCTGGCATTCCCACATTCCTAAGGAGAAAAAGGAGTCCTGAGTGGTGCAAATGGTTAGCAGGCCTGGTTGCTCATGGAAAGACTGACTGAGGCTATTCTGAAGCACTTTGGAAGAAAAACCTGGGGACTTACTTCTGAAAACCCTATGGGGAACTGACGACAACTGCTTACTTTTGCTGTTGTTGTTTGTTTTTGTCACCAGAGTTTTGGGTTCTTGGCTTCCCAAAACATTTACTTTGAGAAGCACAGCATGGGGTATTCACATAGAGCCATTTTATTAAGAATCTCCCAGGAGAGAGAGAGAGAGAGAGAGAGAGAGATCCATACCAGCCTCCGTGACCGGCTTCTCTCTCTCTGCCCACTTGAAAATAGACTTTTAAATATTCCCAGAGAAGAAGAAATTTTGCTGTGGGGAGCAAGAGTTTCTGGGAGGCGTGGTCCCAAGATTTTGCACAGATTCTGCATAGGTGCAATGCAAATCTCCACTTCTGCACCCCTGAACTACCACATTTTGATAACAAAACCAGTCATTAGGTAAGACCTCCTTACCTACTCTGTACCCCACTTACTGCCTATGATACTGTGTTAGTCCTGATAGTCTAGAGAAACAAATCCAGGGAGACTCATATGTGTGTAAGAGAGAGGGTTATATCAAAGAGCAATTGTACATTAAGAAAACATCCCAGCCCAGTGTAGATCAAGTCCATAAGTCTAATATTAGCCCATATATCCGATACCAATCTATATATTCCTTTTCAGACTCATGAAACACAGGCAATGACACTGAGTGCAGGAAGATCGCAGGCCAGTGGGTGGAAAGTCTTGTGGATCCAGTGGCAGTGGAAGCATCTCAGTGCTGGCAGAGGTCTCCACATGGCTCCTTCAGCTCCAGGACTCTAGCATAGCTCCATGTGTCTTGTCCGCAGGAATGTCTCACAGAGAGTGTGTGTCCTGCCTCCACTGAGCTATGTGTCTCCTCAGCCTCTCCAAATAAGGTCATCAAGCCGCAACCTGATTGACAGGCTAAACTCCACCCCTTCAAAGTAGGGGCTGGGAGGCCGGGGAGTGTGGGGGTGAAAGAGTTCATTAAAATACCAGAAATACAACATAATTTACAAGTTGTTGTGGTTCGGGGCCATCGCGTTGCTTCTACCTCACAGGCCCCCTGTGTTCAAGAGCAAAACACCGCTGCTCACATCATCCCCACGATCATTCTCATGTTTAAGCCATTGTTGCAGGGACTGTGTCAACCCATCTTGTTGCGGGTCTTCCTTCTTGCTGCCCCCCTACTTTACCAAGCATGATATCCTTTTCCAGGGACCGGTCTCTCTGGATAGCCTCTCCAAAGAACGCGAGACAAAGTCTCACTACCCTTGCCTCGAAGGGACATTCTGGCTGTCCTTCTCCCAAGACAAGTTTTGCAAGGACAGAATTTATAACAATCCCTGCATCGCTCTGGGAAGAAGCTGGGGGCAGATACTGATGGGAATTACTTGTGAGTAATTATGGACCCGATTCCCTGGAGTGCCACCCTGCTGTGAATAAAATGAGCC